ACTATTTGCCAATTGATGGACAATTGGGTTATTTTTAATTTGGGAGTATTACTGATAGAGCCGTTAAGAACATTTGCAAATCAGACTTTGTATTTTCATACGCTTTCATTTCTCTTACATAAAGATCTATAAGTAAAATGGCTGGACCACTGTTTTTCTTTTATAGTACTTCCATTTTCCAGATGTCCTATAAATTTTTCATGGAAACTCAAATATCTCAGGGTATATCACCTAGTGTGGCTGTATGTATGACTGATGCCTGGAGTGGTAGGCACTAAAAGCCGAATCCCTAGCATTTTCTCATTCTGTTTTATTATATTTATTTATTTATTTTATGATATCCAATCTAATAAAAGAATAATATTCAAATTAACAATCACTCTGCAACAAAAATGGCAGTGCCCATAGTCAAAAGATGGCAGTGTCCAGTCCTCTCAGCCCTGCCAGAGTCCCCCAGTCTCTGGGAGGGCTGCCGCTGAGAGCCTGCAGAGTAAGTGCCTGGTGGAATACTACCCAGAGACACTTCTGACCCTTTATAAAAAAACAAAAACAAATTCACTCCCCATGGCATGATCCCCTGTCAGTGGGGGCATCCTGGGTTGGGGTCTCAGCCTGGGAGTGGCATGCACCCCCATGGTGCCAACCCCTCCCAGCCTGGAGTCTCAACCACTGAGTCACACCAGCCAGGCGGATATGGAGGAATCTTAAATGTTTCTTTTTAAAAAATATATATTTTATTGATTTTTTACAGATAGGGTGGGAAAGGGATAGAGAGCTAGAAACAACTATGAGAAAGAAACATTCATCAGCTGCCTCCTGCATACTTCCCAGTGGGTATGTTTCCCCAACCAAAATACATACCATTTACCAGAATAGAATCTGGGACCCTTGAGTTTGCAGACCGATATTCCATCCACTGAGCCAAACCAGTTAGGGCTTTCCAATATGTTAAAGAAAAAATCCTATCTAATAAAGAGTGAATATGCAGGGGAGGGCATTTGAGGGTGACCAAGTTATCAGGGGAGAGCAATTGGGGATGATTGGGCTGGCAGGGGAGCAGTTAAGTGTCGACCAGGTTGGCAGGGGAATAATTAGGGAGTGATCAGACTGGCAGGCAGAAGCAGTTAGGGGCAGTCAGGCAGGCAGGCAAGCAGTTGGGAGCCAGCAGTCCTAGATTATGAAAGGGTTGCCTAACTGCATGTTTAGGCAGTCAGACATTCCCCAAGAGGTCCCAGAATAGAGAAGGTGCAGGCTGGGATGAGGGACAAGTGCATGAATTTTGTGCACCGGGCCTCTAGTTCTAATATAATAAACTAGAGGCCCGGTGCACAAAATTCGTGCACTGGGGAGGGATGTCCCTCATCCCAGCCTGTACCCTCTCCAATCTTGTCCCCCTCGAGGAATGTCTGACTGTGTTTTTAGGCCCAGACTGGGATTGGCCTTAAATTGGCAGTTGTACATCCCTCTCACAGTCCAGGGCTGCTGGCTCCCAACTGCTGCCTGCCAGCCTGATCACTCTCTAACCACTCCCCTGACAGCCTGATTGATGCCTAACTGCTCCCCTGCCAGCCTGATCACCCCTAACTACCCACCCCTGAAGGCCTGGTTTCTCCCCAACTGCCCTTCCCTGTAGGTCCAGTCACCCCCAACTTCCTTCCTCTGTTAGCCTGGTCAGCTCTAACTGACCTCTCCTGCAGGCTTGATCATCCCCAACTGCCCTCCCTTACAGGCCTGGTCCCTCCCAACCTCCTTCCCCTACTGACCATCTTGTGGCAGCCATCTTTGACCACATGGGAACAGCCATCTTATGTGTTGGAGTGGTGGTCAATTTGCATATTACTCTTTTATAAGATAGGATGTGAGTAGGAGGTGCATGTGTTTCAGAATATAGGAATTCCATAATATCAGCAATTTTTCACTTGCCACTTCCTCCTTGCCTCAGTGACACTCACCTTTGCCTCCTTGTACCTCTGCTTATGGCATTCCATTCTCCTCATTCCCAATTCCTGTCCCAGTTTCATTACCCTGGGATCAGGAAAGGGATTCATCAGAGGCTGGCCAGTTGTCCAACTTAAGCTGAGCTGTTCCCTTCTCTTCAGTCAGGCTGAAAGACCACCTTGATGCTATTCTCATACATTCTTCATTGCACCATCCCTCAGGTTCACTCCCTTACACTACCTCTTTGCTCTCTTTATCTCTTATGAGTGTGTGAAACAAACACTTGGACTGTGAAGGGGAGAAGGAAATTGGGTCAGTAGTAAGGTCCAGGAATAATTTTCTGTCTGCCTTTTAAAGCTGAAAATGACAAGAGCAAGTTGGTATGCTAATGGGTTCATGCAGTACAGTGGGAGGTACCACTTATACAAAACAAAGGGAGATTTTGACAGGTGAAAGTCCTTGAAAGGAGCAAGGAAACTACGGTAGAGCCTAATTCAAATTAGTATTATTTAATAAGAATAAATCAGATTGTGAGCCTCTTGTGCTTAAAGCTAGTAGTGCCTACACATTTCCCTCGCCAAAATTTTTATAAGACCCCGAGAGGGCCTCTGGGACCTGACCTTCCAACACTTGCATGATCTGTTCTCCAATGTCTTCTTTACCCACTTTCTTTAGTCCTGCTTGCCTCCTTGTTGGGCCTTGAAGATGCCATGCTTCCTACCTCAGAACATTTAGCTATTTTTTTTCAGTCAACTATATCACATTTTATAATTTCTAGTTCCCTGTAAAAATTCCCAAGCTTCACTTTTTGTTGTTGTTGTTTTTTAATATATTTTTATTGATTTTACACAGAGAGGAATTGAGAGGGATAGAGAGTTAGAAATGAGAGAGAAACATCTACCAGCTGCCTCTTGCACAACCCATTAAGGATGTGCCCTCAACTAAGGTATGTGCCCTTGACCAGAATCGAACCCAGGACCTTTCAGTCCACAGACCAACGCTCTATCCACTGAGCCAAACCAGTTCAGCCCAAGCTTCACTTTGACCTCAAACAATATGGATAAGCATAGTGATTTTTGGTCTGGTTCTAAGAAAACCAACTTCTAGATCATTTATGGGTCTTTTTTGGTTTATTATTGCTGCTCATTTTCATTCACATTGTCTTACCTCTTTATTTATTTATTTTTTCTAAATCTGATTGTGTGTTGGATATTCTACTTGAAAATGTATTCAAGTACAAATTATCTATGAAAATCTTTGCTGTCAGACACCAGGAACCCTAGGAAAAGATGATTACCTTGATTTAATCTAAGGTTTTGAGATTTATTTATTTTTTTCCCCCCAAACAATCAGCTTTAGATGCTTTGAAGCCAGGCTGATGCCTATATGAGATCTGGATCATTCTTACTGCTGGGCCTCAATCTATTCTTGTCTCTGGGGACTCTGCCTTTTATCTCATTACACCTCTGAGGATGGCAAATGTTTGGATCAGCTCTCAAGCAACTCAACAGTATTTGCAAACACCCCTAAGGCAAAAGCAGATTTCAAATGCCTGACTTCTCTTTTCAGATTCCCAAATTCTTCTGATCTTGCCCTCAAATTTTTCATTCTTATTAAGTCATCGATGTTTTTAATAAAATTTTTCCAACATTTTGCTCAACTTTGTTATTACCTATTATGGCAGGATTGCTCTCAGTTCCCCCTGCCATCATTCTCAAAGGTGGAAATTCATATAAGGACTTTACACTTATTCCATCTTGCTGGAATGCTTTATATCTTAAAACCTATTAATATATAGCCAACTTTCTCACCTCCTTCAAATCTGCTCAAATGTCACCTTCTCTGGATTGAACATCCTATTTAAAATTGTAAGCCATCAGTGCTCTTGACTTACTTAACATTTCGGTGGTGATATAAGTGTGTGTGTTTGGCAGAAGCAAAGAAGGTTTGCTTTGGAAGAATGTGCTACCCTAGGCTTCAAATTATTTCTACTCTTCTTTTTTTTTTTAAATTGAGTTTGACACCTCCTAACATAGGTTGTGATTTAGTTATTTATAATTTTATTGTTTATTTTATCTCCTGCTGAAATGTAAGCTCCCTAGGGCAGGCATCTTTGTCTCTTGTCTTCATGGATATGTCTGAAGTGTGCAGAACAGTTTCGGGCATACAGTAGATACATAATGATATTTGTTGAATTGATAAATGAATTAAATAGCCAATTGATATCAGAAAGTTGGAAAATGAGCCTGCAAGAGAAAATTTCATGTTTACCAGGGAGTATCAAATGCCCAATTGAAATTGAATATCACTACTGAGATGTATAATGACATCAATTAGCTGATTGAGTTTTCCAGTAAGATTTTGTTTCTCTGGTACAAGTTTAGAGAAAATGGATAAGGAGGCCCATCCAGGAGGGATTCAAAGGAGAGAGAGAGAGGCAAGAGAGATTAAGGTATAAAATGACAATGTATGTAAGCTCAGAGATACTGAAGCTTGAGTGAAATTGGTAAGGGTTAATGATTTTGAAGTCTCAGTGAAGCTGAGGCTGAAGAAATGTTGTATTAGGTATATTTGTTAAATGGAGAAGGTGGCTAGGAGGTAGAGTTCTGAAAATAGGATGTTAGAAATTGAAATTTTAGAAGACTTTCATTTTATTTGTTAAGGCAAAGTTTAGGAATGGTACTAGAAATGAATGGTTGAAATGGAGTGGGTGAGAATATCTTTGGAGCATGAAAAATTAAGAGTGCAGAGACTTCTACATGAATTTTGAAGTAACAAACACCATGTAAGGAACTATTATGATTCATAAATAAACATCACCAATAAAGTGGGGGAAGTTAACCAGAAAGCCCATAGATAACAGTAATGAAAAGGATAATAAAATGATATAGTCTAATGAAATGATTTTCAAAGGTACAGAGGGTTTTATATAGAAAAAAAGGGAGTAATGATTAGAAAATCTTAATAAGAAAAAACAGGTGAACAATTGTCCCAGAGTTTAAATCTTTTAAGATTATTTTATTGATTGATTTAATATTATAATCATTTTTATTTTCATACAGACATCTACAACTCTCCCAAGATCAGCTGGTCGAGAAACCAAATATGTAAGTCCTTTCATAATTATACATCCTGCTTTTTAAATGGGTGCTTATATAGGCTTTTGAGGCAACTCGATTATATAATTATTTACATTGAATTGGTTGATTTTTTCCCCCAGAAGTAATAGAAGTAGGATGGTATGATTGACTCACATGTGGAAAATCAGGTTAATTCAGGTAAATTCATTGAGTAAGTTCCTTCTTAAGGTAGGTCTATATTTTGTCTAAGTAAAGCAGAACTTCAACACCTGCTTTCTGTCTTTCTAATATCAAAGCTTAGATGGTATTCTCATTTCTGTACTGGTTTATTGTGGTTACTGTACAATAGTCAACTCATATAATTGAAACATTGATTTGTTTATTTCCAGTAAGATTGTCAGTTTAGTTGATTCAATTAATTATGGTGATAACCTTGATTCAAATAATTATGGGGATCTGGTTCTAAATGCCCTAGATACACATACAGATGGCCTCACCCCATCCCTACTCTTTATTCACTTAATAATTTATCATAGTAGAAACATGATTATTTCCTAGTAAGTGTTTTGTTTTAAGTTTAATGTAAATCATTAAATTATTTACTTTGTTATACACAATATTTGCTAATATGTAGTTTTCATGATCATGAGTAAATAGTTATTAAATTTATATTTTGTGACCTATTTTTTTCTGCAATTGGAATATTTCTGCTTTCATTTAACTCTATAAGGCAAATAATAAACTGGGTGAAGTTACTGAATGTTATCACATTCAGAAAATAATGTGTAGAGGACATGTGTAGGAACACACTTAGAGCATTTTCTAGAAGTTTACACTGTTATTTTGTTTTTTTGTTTTTATTGGAAGCCATTTGGAATAATACCTAAAAGACTAGAGGCATTTAGTAGGCTATACTCAAGTTTACATTTATAGAGCTGTTGCTTGGTAACTGTTTGGTGCCGGAAAATCACTTAACCTCTTATTTTTATCATAAATAATATTAGGATATTAATAACCTTATTTGGTTGGTATAAGGCTTAGATTGGTTAATGTATGAAAAGCCCTTACAAAAGCTAATACCTCCTCTCACCCCTCCCAACCCTGAGGGTGGTTATTTTGACAGGAATTGGTATAATTCTGGAGGGGCTGCTTTACTCTCCATAGTTTCAAATTATTCTTTAATCAGTTGTCAGCCTTAAAGTCAATTAACATTTGCCCCAAACTTTATGAGAGCATTTGATTCACTTGAAGTTTACAATGAATCATTAAACAGACTTAATATAAACTAGAAAAAACAAACTGATTCAAATAAGATTCTTGATTTTAATTAAATTTGTTTTAGTAAGCTTTGCTTTGGTCTTTCTCTTACAATATGACATTTGAATTGTTGTTTGTGAGACCTCAAATATGTTCATATCTTTTGAAAGACTATAAGGGATGATTTTCTGGTGAAAGATAAAAACTAACTCATTGATGTCATACTTGTAAATATTTGGTTGCAATTATTATATTTACTAAGTGATGTCTGAATCAGAGAAGTCGATGGACTGTAGCATTTCAATATTTATCATCTCTCTTCAAAACTTTGAGGAAGGTAGGCATCTGCTTGGGACTCAATGTGTCACTGACTTTGTAGAGATGTTTAGATTAGACTCAAGCAGGAGTCACACAAGTTAACAACTCCTGCACCACAGAGGAAAAAAGGGAAGACAAGTTAGATCCCCCACACACACAAAAAAAATTGTTATACTTGAGATTATCTTGAACAGATGAGTACAGACTATTCAAAACCCCTATTTCTGGGTGCTCTTTAAAAGTATAATATATAGTCTACAAATCATGACTACTAGAAACTCTAGTCAGTGTTTTCATAAATAATATTAGGATACTAAAAACCTTATTTGGTTGATGTAAGGCTTAGGTTGGTTAATGTATGAAAAGCCCTTGATGTATTAGATAGTTCTCACACACAGGCATCACTTAATGATAGCACCAATACTAGTTTGTCCAATTTTGCTCACTGATTTGACAAATATGTATTGTGTGTCTACCATACCCCAGCACTCACTGAAGATTCACTGGGATGAGAGATGAGCAAGGGCCCCATTTCTAAAACATACAAGGAGGAAGACAGTAAACAATTAAGAGTCAATGAGCAAGATACTTTCTTACTGAAATTAGAGAAGAGCTAGCCAGAGAACTGGTCAATGTTAAAACAGACCTGTAAAGTTGCTAGTTTTCAGTGTATCAGTATGCCCATTGAATTTCCAAATTTCCTTGGATGGTTATAAATAGTTTAATTAAATAATGAGAGATTGTATGACTAATTCCTAATTGAGGGGCCTTTGGTGAAAGGCTGGCTTTTCTCCATTAAGAGAAGACATGAAAGCCAATGCGAGAGAATTAGTTTCCTTTTCTTATTATTTATTATACTCATTGTTCAATGCCCCATAGTGTTTTCTAAGATGACCCAGAAGCATTAAAAGCTCCATCAAGTCAGAATAATTAAAGTCAAAGGTTTCTCTAATTCATGGTGTATAATACTTGACTCTTGTTATTTTAAAGTACAGTTGACCCTTGAACAACACACGTTTGAATGTGCAGGTCTATTTATATTTCAGTAAACAGTACAAGTGTAATTTATCTTCCTTATGATTTTTTAAATAACATTTTCTTATCTCTGATTTACATTATAGTAAAAATACAATATATAATATATATGATATACAAAATATGTATTACTTGACTTCTTAAGTTGTCTGAAAGGCTTCCAGTCAACAGTAAACTATTACTAATTAAATTTGGGAGGAGTCAAAAGTTATATTTGGGTTTTTGGCTGTGTGGGAGGTCAGCATCCTTAACTCCTGCATTGTTCAAGGGTTAACTGTTGATTTAATTGAGGTTATCTTAAGAGTAATAGAATTTAAATCAGGCTAATGGCATGTTGAATAGCTTCCATTGGTCACTTTGTGGGATTGATTATATTAATTTGTCATCAATATTTCACTGGATTATTATTAACAGGTGCCAAATTCAACAATAATAATAACTAATATTTTAAATCTTACCTTTCAAATGAAGTTTAACTATCTCATTTAACGTTTCATCAATCTTATGAGGTGGATATTGTTATTACAAGATCTCCATTTTACAGATGAAGAAACTAAGTGTCAGAAGTCACAATAATCAAAACTAACCTAGGTCTTCCACATGTCAAAGCCCTTGACATTAAAACTCGTACAAACCTACAAAAGCTGAGAACAGTGTGTCTGCTTAAATATTTTATCCACAAGTATTTATTTTCTGGGTCTAAGTTCTTCATGCCCAATAACCAAAAGTCAAACTTTGAATAAATAATTTCATATTTGGTGATATCTGATGATAATATTTTACTAAATTTCTAGTGTTTTAAATAATTTGATTATATGTACATTAACTCATAATCTATCAGGTAATTTATGAGTGATTGTTTCTCATGACACTCACTTTTAAAGAGTTTCCTTCCCTCTATGTAAAGGAATGAAATTTTATATTTAAATTTATATTTCATTCTGTTTTAATTCTATCATCTTTGGAGGTGAATGCCTTTTTTTTTCTTTGCATTACACTTACCTTTGTAAATGTTTATTTTTTTATTAACTAATACCAATGAGCAATTAAATTCATTTCATTCATATAATTCAAAATTATAATATACTCTTAATAAAGAGAAACCTCAGAAAATAGGGCAAGTATGTGGACCTATTACTAATTTATCAAAAAAGCCCTTAGTTAAAATCACATCATATTGATAACAGCTTATATTTTAAACTGTCTACACTTCATGGATTATTTTTTAATGTCAAAGAAATAACAGAATATTGAATATTATATAGTGTACAGGGAAGATCTCATTTTAATGAGCTTAAGGGACAGAAAATGTCATTACAATTTCATACATACTGCTTTCAAAATATCACAATATATTAAAAGGTGTCAAACTTTATTAAAAATATTCCCCACTATATATACAGATATTCATATAAAGGTCATCGTCTCAATTTAGCCAGCTCACAAACTCCCCTTGCTGCTATACTAGGAATTGTTGCTAGGCTGGAGTGTTTCCAAGGTGAAGTGCACTAATGTAGTCATGGATTTCAGGCTTAGGTGACTTAAACCCAATCCACTTAAATCCAGGTGTGGGTTCTAATATGTTTCCATAGGATGTAAGCAGAGATTAGATGAGTTACAGGAATAGTTATAAACAATTTAAGCAAGAAATTACGCTCTACTGATCAGTCTTATTTCTTTCCTTTATGTTTAGAAATATTTCTATGGTATGCTCATGTGAAAGGGGATGAGGAGGAAATGGAAGATAATTATCTGGGTTCTACTAGTGAGGAGAGAAAGAAAGGATTTAATGAGGCAAGTTTTATGCCTTGTATCCTCATGATCATTTCAGACTTCTTCAAGCATGGTGGGGCAATAAAATATAGCTCATGGGATTTTGTTCCACAGAGTGCCATTCTTTCACTCATCTCTAAGAATGTTCCTCACAGTCAGTGTTCACAGGAATAGACATGAGTGACTAAAAACTTAGGGTTGTTCAAATCCAATTTCGTTGAGTTCATTTTTAGGTACTTCAAGTTGCTTCTCTACCTTAGTTTAGTTGACTGACAGATAGTTGTTATAATAGCCTCCTCCCTATACTCATGGCTCCAATCTCAACTCACCAAACAATATTCCCTCACTTTAAAAAAATAATTGCTACAATTTTGATAGCATAGCTATAGCTACAACATTTAACAAAAATAATTAACCTGTATTAGGCAAACAAAAAGGAAGCTTCTAAAAAGATTTAACATGATTGGGTTGGTTGAAAGACTGGCTTATATTCATAATGATACATATAAGTTAATATTTTTACTTTGGTAAAGAATCTTCAGTGGCTGTATAGATATTTACTTGACCCCAAGGTTCATATTGAACTCTGTCCTTACTCTGGGAAGTTTCCTGTAGTACTGATATAAGGTCTGTTATATTACATA